TATAATATTGAACAAAAAAGATACAAAAGGGTATATACTATATAATTTAATTTATATGAAATACAAAAATAAGCAAACTAATCTATAGTGAAAACATCATAATAATAATTACCTTTGGAGGAATTATTGACTAAGAGATGCCATGAAGGAGCCTTCGGGCAATTATGAAAATGTTCTATATCTTTATCTGAGTGGTACTTATATAGAGTATACAGTATAGTATAGGTAAACATTCACTGAAATAAACATTTGGTATTTGCACACCTTGTTATGTATTTATTATTCTTCAATGAAAACATATTTTTAAATTGTCACTGTGGTTGCTTGGGATGAAGTATCTTTTGAAGGAAGGGCTTTAAGAGACCAAGTGGCTGTTGCATTTAACCATAATTACAGTAAGTGTTGACTACAAGGGCTGTCAGTGGATGGGCTTCATTTCATTACATTGGAGATATTGTAGAAAGTAAAAGACAAGCTCAGGGCTTTAAATTCTCGCTCAAGTTGCAGTCAGAAAACGATAAAATTTTCACAATGGCTCTGAAGGAATCTCTATTTCTTTTATTTTTAGGGCAGCTGTGGATGAAAAATCAGCCTCTAAATTTAATATAACAGGATTAAAATGCAAGTTGAATTCACAGAGTTGTCAAGTCTCTTATAGCAAAGTCAGCATGCTGCTTGGAAAATAGAGGGACCTTGAGACTTGGAATTTTTATGTTTGGATGGAAGCTAAGACTTGAAGTACAAATATCTCTAAGCCTTCCTTGGCAGCAGAAGCAATCCCTTCTCTCCTGTTTGAGAATATTAGCTTTTCTTTCCTTATAGCCCCTATAATAACTTCACTTAAGGCACTTAGCTTGCAGGGGGATGTCTATTTTCCTTAAGGCCCACCTGTCCAACATTCATTGCCATTAGACCCAAAGTTGGAGTCAGATCTCAGCATGTCCCAACAGGACTAGTCAAATCTGTACTGAGAGGTGATTGTTGGTACTCTAAGGGAATAGTAAGTTTTTACTAATTCATAGCAGCAAAAACCTAGAGAATATGTGTGGGGATTGATTATAAAACTTTTAGACTAGGAAGGATAGATATAAGTTTGGATTGGCTCAAACTTGTCAATATACTTAGAAAATTTACTTAGCAGTAATATTTTGAGTATCTGTGAATGGTTTTAACAGTTTTCTTGGTAGGTAAATTGAAACCTTGACTCAAATATGGCTTATGTTCAATGAGATTGAGATGCCAGAGTCTTCTTGGAATACTATAGAGGAAGAAATCCAAAAGCTTATAAGGTTGTTAAAGTTGATTTCTCTTATGTAGCCTGCCCATTATGCACCTTTACCATATCCCCCCAGAGGGCACAGATGACACTTTCTTGAGAAGTACATTAATGAGGAGAAGACTAGTATCTCCAAAAAAATCTCTTTGGTAGCTCTCCTCTGTAGGCTGAAGTTGATGGTAGTAGATAGTGCCATTGAAATTATGGGATTCCAAAATGATAGAAGACATGGTATTTAACTGCCTGAGACAAGATCTACTGGTCAAAGTCAGTGCTCATAGATATCATAGATAAATGGCATTTTAACTCAATGCCCAATGTCAAGGTCCATATTATAATGAATTCATTTTGTCTGGGACTTACACTGTGGTTATTTACCTACTTACTGAATGTATAATTGGAATTACCACAATGAACAATAAGAATTAAAGTAGCCATCTGAAAATTTTGACCGGTTTCCTTAGAGTTACATAGATAGGATGTCTATTAAATTATTACTAGAGTTATTCACAGAAAAGCTCTAACTATGAGGCTAAAAACATGAGTTGAGACACCTCAAGGGAGAATCTTGGCTTCTCATCCACTTTCCAGACTTAAGCCAATTTATACACCCAGAATTCTTTGATTGAACAGGAGTCTGGCTCTCTTGAGAAAGAATCCTACAAGACTGCCTCAAACATATACTGTAGATCTTACTGCAAGCATTCCTCAAAATACCTGTAGCCATTTACTAGGGTGATATACATTGGAAAATGGAAAATATCCCAGACTTTCAGAGATTACCAGACACTGATTGCAAGTTAATACTAATTCCTAAGATCTCAAAATTCCCCAGTGGACCACTGGTTAAAATTAGAGCTTATAGGTGTCAAGTGATAAATGCTATTTTGGTCCCCCAATTAATCTTTGGATTTAGCTCTGTTTGTTTCTGGTTCCTGAATGTATAATTAGAATAGATATACTCAGAGACTAGCAGCATCCTCACAAATTAGGGACTAAAGGATGTCATGGTAGGAAGGACCACATAGAAACTCCTGAACTTTCTCAGTCTGCCAGAATGGTAAAAATAAACAAAAATAACAAAAACAAAATCATTCCACAGAAATTAGATATAAAAACACATGAATGAAGGTTCAGAAGAAGTAACCCTATCACATTCTTGTCTAATTCTCCTGTTTTTGCCTATGCAGAAGGTAGATCTTAAAGAATGTTTGTAGACTACTACAACTCCATTTGCAGTTGTTACCCACTGTGTGGAATCTTTATTGAACCAAACTGACACAACCTCCTCATTCACAACTATTGGTTTGTCAAATACTATTCTCTCTAGAGCAGTTTACAAGGACCAACAGAAGTTTGATTTAACCTGTCAGCACTATACTTTTACTGCCTTGCCAGAGCAATAAGCAGCCCTCTTTCTTTCTATTAAAATCTATTATGCAGACATTTCACAGAATGTCAGATCTACTAACCACGATGATTTCCATCATGGTGATTGGATCTGCTGAGCATGATGCTTTAGATGCTTTGGTACAACCCATATGTGTCAGAGGCTGAGAGATAAAAACCATACAAATTCAGGGTTTACTACCATGGCAATATTTTTAGCATATCCTGAAACATGACAGGATATCTCAAATATGAAGCAAGTATGTCGCCTGCCACTAAAAAAGAGGAACAATGCTTATTGGACCTTTTTACATTTTAGGAACAACCTTTACTCTTATATTCTGTTGTTACACATTAAATGAGCTGTTAGCTACTAAAGTCCTAGAGAAAGAAAAGGCTTTGTAGGTTTTGTACTCTACAGTGCAAAAACTCTTCTTTACTTTACTTTATACCTTAACACCTAGATTATCCTACAGTATTTGAAGTGTATGGGGCAAATTGGAATATTATGGCAAGTTGCAATAGAAGAATTACGGTGTAGATTACTTGAGTTTTGGAGCAAAATTATACCCTCTACTAATGTTAACTATTCTCCTTTGAGAAACAGCTCCTGTGTGTGATTATACTGTGATAAAACCATATGCTTATTATTTGTATACTTTTCTGTATGTATGTTGTACTATAAAAAAAGGTTTACTTTTTAAAAGCTATATGGAAATTAAGGTCCAAATATAGCAAAAACAATTATGAAAAGAAGAGCAAGCTGGGGAGGATTTCCCGGGTTTTTCAAAATAAAGCTGTATTTACAGAATATTGGACCTGACATTAGGTTTATGAGTATGTGAGAATTTAGCATATGACATAGGTAGCAATAGAAATCAGTAAGAAGAGCCTAATCAATAAATGCTAAGTTGGAACAACGGGAAAAAGTTAAAATTAGATTTGAGCCTCCATAATGAGGAAAAATAGGTCCTATCTAATCAAAGACCTAGATATGGAAAACAAAATTATAAACATTTTAGAAGCCCATATAAAGTATAGAGCATGCCTTTAAACCTCAGGTAGGTAATATTCTTAAAGAATACCTCTAGTAAGCACAAATCATAAAAGAAATAATCAATATATTTGACTGCCTCAAAATTAAAAACTATGATATGACTAAACTCATCAAAAGTTAAATTAAAAAATAAGAGATAAACTGGGAAAGGGTATTTGCTATATAGATCACAGAATGATCATTGTCAAAAATTTACAAATTAGTAAGAAATAGGCAACTCTTTCTAACTGAAGAAAGGAAAAGGATGTAAAAAAGCCATTCATAGATGAGGGAACACAAATACATAGTAAACAAATGAAAATATTTAATGTCACTAAGAATCAGGGAAATGAAAATTAAAATAACTAGATACCATTTTTTATCCATCAGATTGAAAAAAATTGTAACCTTTAACAATATCTAGTATTGGCATGGATATGGAGAAATGACATTCTTATTCAGTAATGGTGAGAAGTAAATTGGTATAGGTGTTTTGTTGAACATTTAGCAATAACTACTAATGGTGAAAATGCACATAGTATACAATCCATTAATTACACTTTTAATTATTCCCCTAAGGAAATGTTTACAGGTGTACTCAAGGAGATGTGTATAAGGAAATCCATTGCAGCATTATTTGAGTATCAAAACACTGGAAATGATTGAAATGCCAATCAGTAAAGGGACTTAAAAAAATTACAGTGTTTTCATATTATAGAATAGAAAACAGCAGCTAAAAGGAATAAAGTATATTTCTTTACATACATGAATTGATCTCAATGTTGAGTAAGTAAAAGCAATTTTAAGAAGTACACGTTTTATGATGTCAACAATATATTTTAAAGTACATAAACAAAATGTTGATAATCATCATTTCTGGGTGTTGGGAACACAAGTGTTAGTTTTATCATTTTCTCTATTTTTCTATAATTAAAATGTTTCTCAAAATAAAAACGATGCGAAAAATAGAACAAGTAGGAAGCAGTTAATTGTTTCAAGTGTCATACTCAGATCAAATTAGATAAGAACTGAGCATTGTACATTGGATTTAACAATTAAGTCAGTAACTATTTGTTAAGCATCTATATATTTAAGTGCAAGGTATTTTGACATGTCACAGGATGGGAAAGTAGAATATAAGCCTGAAGACAAGGTATAACTTTCCTGACTTTGACTCCTCAGCTTTTATTTACGTAATGATGGTAGTAGTGGTGATGATAAAAGCTTCAATAAGCCATATTACATTTACACAAAAATCTCAAATTTTCTGTGACAACTAATTGCAAACTTTCTGCTTAGGTAGGGTTTTTGGGTCGGCAGAGGACATTGGCCTTGCTGGAAACATTCTATGACCAAAGTTCGAAAACGCTCAGAAGTTTGCTGCGAAACCCAAGACAATGTAAGTGCCACTCAAAGGGAGTGTGCTCAACCTGGAATGATGTAATACACCGGCATAATAAAAGCCATTCTATTCCCATGGAATCCCTTCACATGACATCTCCCTTAGATCATGATAGCTATATCTAACTGTTCATTCCCCACACAATTCACTCATCACAACTAGATGTATTTTTCACTATAGTGCGATACTAAAGTTGCCAAGTTAGAACTCAATTTTAAGTTCATTCAAATGAAGAGGTGCTTGAGTGATAATCTGAATATTTTGGAAATTAAGTTGGTAATGGTAAATTCTAGTTTTAATATCTAACTTAGAATTCTAACATTTCTAGGTTTTCTTCTCCCAAGCATTTTTACTTGTATGCCTTTATTGAAATAATACAGTAAAATATGTTTTTTATGTTACTACCAAAACAAATAGAATTATGGGTTTTATTTTTATTTTTTAAAGAAAAAAGGCTCTAAATTGATGGGTTTTCCAAAGAATGTCAATATTTTAGTTCTATGTAAAACTAGTCGGATATTTAAAAATCTATGGGTGATATAGAGTAATCCTGAAAACTGTGGGAATCACACTTTTATAGCGTGGCTATTTTGGGTGAGAAAGGAACAGTTTTGTGTCATGAATCCCACTACAGAGAGTGGTCCTGGACACCAGGTTTGTTTTGTTGTTGTTGTTGGTGGTGGTGGTGGTGGTGGTGGTGGTGATGGTGGTGTTTAAGTGGAGTTCTGGTGAATGCTATCTAATCTTTCCCTAGATTTATGAAACAGGTGTTCATATAAGTTGAGGAGGAAAGGAATTAAGGAATGAAAAAGAAAGAAAGGTGGAGAATAAGAAAGGGGGGGAAATTAATATTGGGAAAACATAGTCCAGGGAATGATAGTCATGGATAGAGACTTGCCTTATTTTGATATTGCAGATATTGAAAAGGTATTTGAGGTGGAAGACATGTGTCCTCCCCTTAATCCCTATGCTGTGCTTATTGTGGGAGGACCAAGAGTAGATAAATTCTTTTTTAATTTTTATTAAAATTTAGTTAACAAGCAGTGTAATATTGGTTTCCTCACTTACACCGTGCACTCCTTAACACCCATCACCCATCTAGCCCATTCCCTGCCTTCCATCAACAAACCCTCAGTTTGTTCTCTATAGTTAAAGAGTCTCCTGTGATTTGTTTCCCTCTTTTCTTTTCTTTCCCCCCCCTTCCCATGTGTTCATCTGTTTTGTTTCTTAAATTCCCCATATGAATGAAATCATGTAATATTTGTCTTTATCTGGTTGACTTATTTTGCTTAGCATAATACATTCTAGCTCCATCCATGTCATTGCAAATGGCAAGATTTCATCCTTTTGATGGCTGAGTAATATTCCATTGTAAATATACCACATCTTCTTTATCCATTCATCAGTCAATGGACATTTGGGCTCTTTTCATAGTTTGGCTATTGTTGATAATGCTGCTATAAACATTGGTGTGTGTGTACCCCTTCAAATCTGGATAAATTCTATTTGTCTTGGCAGTTTTAAGCAACTCTGCAAGTAGAAAAAGAAGAATCATGTTCATTTCCAAAGCCACACCTTTTAGGAAGGGATGATTTCTAACTTACAGTAGTGAACATCTTTTATGTTCCTTTGAATATCTTTTTGCCTCTTGTGTTGGAGGGAAAGCTGTTATTTATTTAAAACAATAAGCCTATGTTATAATTACTGTCATCAATGCTGTTTTGCATTAATTTACTGGCTCTGATTCTGCATTATAAGATCAATTGTTTAAGTAAATATTTTGTTTTCTGCATTAGGGCCATTCATTGAATTTGAAGAGATAGACTTGCCTGAGTTCTGGGGAGACATGGATAATCAGAAACATATTTATGAAGACTTTGACAAAGTGCTCTTAGAGATAAATGCATTACTTTCTGAAAAACATGCTAGCAAAACCCAAAGCACATTGTTAGAAACTCCAGAAGATCAACATAAACATGATGAATATACAGAATCAACATCACCAGAACAACAGAGAGGGACGACAGCAGAACAAGAACCAAACAGAATTTCAACCAAAGAACAAGAACAAGACAAAGAGTCTACTGGAAAAAAAGAACTATACAGAGAAATAGTAACAAAACAAATCCACACAGGGTCAACTTCAGAACAAGGATCAAGTAGAGAGTTAATAACAGAACAAAGACGACATAGTGATTCAGTAACAGAACAAGGACCACCACAAAGAGTATCATCTTCAAAACAAGGAGTCCACATGGAATCAACTGCAGAACAAGGACACCACAGAGAATCAATAGCAGCACAAGGACCACACAGAAGGTCAATCTCAGAACAAGAATCACACAGAGAGTCAGTAACAGAACAAGAACCACACAAAGGGTCACGTGCGGAACAAGAACCATCAGGAGAGATAATTCCAGAAAAACAACAGGACATAGATTCAACTTTACAGTCAGGAAGAGGTAGTATCTTCAGAGAAAGTAGAAAATCTAGGGAGTCTGCTTCCTTTGAACATACTGAAATCCTCCCACAGGAAAAGAAGACTCAGGAGCAAATATATGAAGAGGAACTATTTGTGAGTCCTGAACTGCAAGAGGAGGTTCCAATATCAAGAAGAAAATATCATCTTTCAGGTAGTAATGCAGTTTTTCTATGACATTGGCTCCCTGTTTTGTGGAATGATTGTTAAAGTCTTTTCAGAAAATAATCATTTCAATTAGCATTTTTTCTGGCATATCAGATCAATCAAACCTTAGACATATTTTGCTACTGAATATGCATCTAGGCCTTGAACAATCAATTAAATGCAAACCAGAATGTTTCTGTTTTCAATTTACCTAGAATTCCTTTTGCACAGGAAGCCCATTCATAAAGAAGTAATCTGGTGATGTTACATATGGAAAGCTTCACTGGACTCCTGAAAAGGCAGTAGAAGCCCTTTAGTTTTAAATGTAGTGTGTAATATTAGAATCCACTTTTAAAAATGTCTTTTATTTCTTTTTTAAAATTTTTTTCTAGAGAGAAAGTGTGTGTGAGCAGGGGAGAGGGGAAGAAGGAGAGAGAGAATTCCAAGCAGGCTCCATGCTCAGTGCAGAGCTCAACACAGGGCTCCATCCTATGACCCTGGGATCATGACCTGAGCAGAAATCAAGAGAAGAATCAGACACTCAACCAACTGAGCCACCCAGATACCCCTAAACATTTTTTTGTTTCGACTATAAAATGGGTCTTGCTTTTTTCAGTTATATAAGATATATGTTCTAGAAACATTTCTGAAGGTTACATTGGAGACAGAAAGCACCCTGCATTTCAAATATTTATTCTGCAAAAGACTTTTCCTCTGAATTACCTATTCCAATGTATGTCTTTTTTTTTTTTTTAAATCTAACTTAGAGAGCCAAACTCAATACTGCTTAAGACCTCAGTTAGGCATGAATATTTTTAAACTTCTGCTCTTTAATTTTAAAGTCCCACAGTCCCAAAGAAAATCCTTATTTAAAACTCCTAAGAAATGAGTAACCTGTGTTGTAGTTTCTACATTATCACTAACTAATCTGAAATCTCTCATTTTTTCAGCATGATGTTTATTTCTTCACAAAAAGGGCCACTAATTTCTGGCTCTCCTTATGTAGGAGGGATGCAGCTAGAAAAATTGTGAAGTTACTATTCAATTAGATGTTATTGGTGATGACTTGATTTTGGCTATGTGTAGCAGTGATTCAAAATGACAGTGTCTAAAAAAAACATAAAAATAAAACAAAATAGCAATGTATAAACAGCATAGAAGTTTCTTTCCTTCTGATATAAAAGTCATGTGACAGCTCAGTCTCATGAAATCAGCAATGGCTCAAGTCCTATCTTGTGTCTCCCCTAACCACATAGTCCAGGATGGCTCACTAACATATCCACATTCTGACCAGAAGGTAAGAAGAAAGAAGAAGGGATAGGCATTACATCACTTGCTTACACATGACACTGGTCAGAATTTAGACATTTGATGACACCTAGCTGTGACAGAGACTAGGAAATGTAGCCCTCATATTGAGTGGCCAGATTTGGGTACCAGGAATAGCTTTTGTCATAGAGCTGCTCTCAACAACTAGAGTTATTAAGTGATATCACTATGGTTGAATGTGATATAATATATGTGGGAAATTATCTGATAGAAAGTTTTTAGTGTTCTGTATGCAAAGCATTAGTGTCTGTATGCAAAGCATTTTTCTCATTTATTAACTTAGGAATTTATCATAGAATATATAATGTCCAGTTCAAAGGCCTTTTATTTTTTTTTCAAGTTTTTATTTAAATTCCAGTTCATTATGGTACTTTCTCTTATACCTTTTAGAAACTACAAAAAAGGAAGTTCAGAAAGATCCATCTTGTGAAAAGTCCCAAAAAATAGAAGGAAAGTCATGGTCAGGTGACTCCTCATTTAATCCTCCTTTCATTTATACTCTAGAACAAAAACATTATGAAAGTGAAATTAAATCGTCCATGTTATGGAATGTATATTTTTTAGGTGAACTTTTGACATGTAACTGGAATATGGATTATATCAAATGTGAAGAAGAAGAAGAACAAGCAAACTTACTCTACAGTAGCTCCAGGTTCACAGGTACATGTCAGCAACCAAATTAGGAAGGATAGATGGCAGTCCAGTTGATGAATTTAATTTACTGTGGTACCCCATGAACTTAGCCAAGACACAATGGCAGGATGATCCTTGCATTATTTTGTCACTGAATTGATGGATCTAAATATATACAAGGTGGATGTTTTTGGTGGTAGTGTACATGTAGGCATGTGCTATTGATAAATGCTTTTCTGCCTTAAGTCATATGCATTAGTATATAATGTGTTTTGACCATTACATGGCCCTACAACTTCTTTGAAGCTATGATACAGGTGTACAAAAGGAATCAGATATTGGATATTAGAACTCAGTGGAAATCATTCCAGCTATTCCTCTCCCTGGTAGTCCCATAACTCAACATGTCAGACAGGTGAGAATATGTCATGTTTTTGAAGACTTATAAAGAAAGATCTACTCAACAACAGAGAGAGCAAAGAGTAACTTTTAGCTCTCAAATAAATCATGTATTAAACAATGATTATTCCAACCAGTACTCATATTACTACAATGCTATTTTATCATTTTATCTTTCATCAACAAGCAGTATATTTGATTACTAATTATATTAAGATTGTTTTCTTCCTATCAGCAAATTTTTTTCTCATTTAAGCCTGGGTCAAATAACAAACTTCCTATCCTCAAAATATTTTGGTAAAAATGCATGGCATTGGTCAAGCTATTGTGGCCTATACTAGTTCATATTCTTCTTCTGGTCTTACTTCTTTATTTCAGTTTTGCTTTACGACCTAAAAAATTGCATTGGTGATTATTTTCAAATCATGTCAATCTCATATGGAAGGCATGAATGATTGAATTGATGAATAAATCAAACATAAGTCACTGGGCTGATATTTTATGAAATATGCTTCATAACATTGAGCTTGAAGATAAATATATTAGTCAAGACTCTTTGGGGGAGAGGTTGTAATGGTATTTATAGATTTGTTTAACTGTGAAGTCCAGACTACAGCTGGCTTCAGACACAAATGAATCCAAGGGCTCAATAATAGCAGCGAGACACCATCTTTGCTTCTCATCCCCGTTCCTTTCTGTGTAACTTTCAGTTTTAGGTAGTTTTCTTCATGTTGTGGCAGATATATTTGTAAGAGTATTGCTAAGCCTATATCCTACTAGTTCAGGAATCAGAATACAAAAAGAGTGATTCTTCCCCAATAGTTCCCAAAAAAAGTTCTGGGGCTCATTCTCATTGGCATATGTAGTGGATTACATTGCTGTCATATAGAAACCATTGGCCAGACCTATGTCACGTAGTCATTCTTGTCACGAGGGTGGGGGAGGCTGAGTGCTACCTGATTAATCTAAACTGACAGTGGGGAAGAGATGTTTTCCTCATGAAGGGAGCATGGATTCCTAACAGGAAAAAAGTAGCAGATGTTTATTACAATAAGTACTCGTATATTTTCTCTAAGCTTTAAGAAATTGTTCACTTTACTGTTTGTTGTATGTTTCTTGCTTAATAGACCTACATGCAGTTATCAGAAATATTCAGTCTTACAAGGAAGTAAAAGGTGGGAGTGCTTTCAATGGAGTTTCCTTCAATCTGCTCCAGTTTGTGCAACTTCTGGAGACATTTGTTGGTGAAGATGCCCCCCTGAGTGTCAGTGAGACCCTCACATCCTTTTTTAAGAGGGGCTATGTTGAAACAAAAGAGGAGAAAATAAGTGGCTTAGAACAGGTGAGTAATATTATTTACCAATAAAACAGGTGAGGTTGGAACGACAACAGCCTTGTGAGTTGACTGGACAAACATCCCTGCAGATGAGAAATTAAAGCAGAGTAGAATGGTCAAGGTCACACCCTAAATAAGCAATTAAGGGGGATCAAACACAGGTCCCACAATCCCTGGGTCAGAGCAGCCTAGGGCTACACACACATAGACAGACCCCAGGCTCTAGCTTCTTCAGGCTGAAGTTGTCTTGACCCCTGATGGAGTCAGTGTCTGCTGCCAATGATCTTAAATGCAGATTTGTCTCTGTGTTAGAGGTGGAAGTCTTGCAGTTGAGTGGGGGAGCTCCTCCTAAGAAATTCAGAAAATTGCACTGAGTGAGCGAATTCTTTCTTGCAACAGGGACTGCTTCATGCATAATGTAATATGGTTCTGGATTTTGGAAATAAAAAGTCCTGTGTAAATCCAATGTAACAGCACTAATACATTAAGGGTCCCTTTGGAATTGCTCCTCAGCCTTCTCCACTCTGATTTATTTAGGCCTTTTATCCTGCACGTGGCCTCTTATTGTTTTTCCCACTTAATCCTCCTAGCACTCACTCCCAGCTGGCCTTGACTAAGGAGAGACTGGATAGGGCAGTGGTTGGGAGTATGGCTTCTGGAGGCAGAGCACCTAGACTCAAACCATGGTTCTGCTGCTTTTTTGCTGTGTGACCTTGTGCCAGAGCCTTAACAGCAATGCTGGCTCAGTTGCCTTATTTTCAAATGAAGATATAATCGTACTGACCTCACCAGGTTGATAGGAGAATTAAATGTGTTAATTCAAGTACTTAAACAGTGCCTGACCCATAATAAACCTTAACTATTATCATCTTCTTCAATTCTCTTGTCAGAAACCCTAAATAGTTATAGAATTGAGAACAGTGTTTAACCTGAAATAGACTTTCTTGGACTCTTTTAACCCATGCACTCCAGCTCAGTTTCCCAAACCTGTGCTCCTGACTTGACTCGTGCTGACCCAGTACTACCATCAGTTGAAGTCACTGCTGCCCCTCAAAGGCAGGCTCTCTGGTCAGAGAGAGCCTTTGAGCTCCTTTGAGCCATTCTAAGTATCTCAGTATCCAAGTTCCTCTAAAGTTGTAGAGGAGGGGCACCAGGGTGGCTCAGTCAGTTCAGGGTCTGACTCTTGATTTCGGGTCAGGTCGTGATCTCACAGTTCATGAGTTTGAGCCCCACATCAGGCTCTACACTGACAGTGCAGACCCTGCTTGGGATTCTCTCTCTCTCCTTCACTCTCCTTCCCTGCTGTGTGCTCTCTTCTCTCTCTCTCTCAAAATAAATAAAATAAATTTTAAAAAATTATTTTAAAAAATAATAAAGTTGTAGAGGAAAGCTAAAGTCATCAGACATGAAAAGTATTCTCCAAACAACTGACCATTTAAAAAATTACTTTCCACATAGATATTATTAAACAACAAAAATTCAACTGAGTAACTTTAAAGATCAAATTGGCTTGATTCAACAACTCATGAGTTCAGCAACATCTCATCCAGCAATAGAAAGGAGCTCTGAAGGGCTGCAAGGTTTTTTAAAAGGCAGAAATGGGGCTGGGAAGGCAAATTATTACTAAAGAATGAATTATTCCAGGAAGGTCGCCTTTCTAACAGGAACAGAAGGGGTCTATCAAGTGGATTATCTCACTAGTGCTGACTGGGTATTTCCATGATGACTGGTTAAAGGTTATGCCTGGGGAGCTGAAGGTGCACTTAGGTTAATTATTAAGCCATGATTTACTGACATGGGGCTTAGAACAAGCCTAGTGTCTCTTTTTTAACACCTCCCTACCTAACACCATCCATCCATCATAGCCCATTTCATACTTACGACTGTGGGATGTTGTAAACTTCTGATATTGACAATGCAACAAAATGGTGTCAAAGTAAAATTTAAGTTTTAAAACCTAGAATTTCATAAAGCCATGAAAGTGTTATTGCAAAACTGCTCAAAATGATTGCAGTCATTGGCAAATGAGGATCTGAGAGTCAGGTCCATTAACAAATGAAGAGCTTCATGGAACCAAGTAGGTACTTCATGGGGGTGATTTGAGTATCAATGAGATAATGGATAAAGAGAGGCCTTCAGATGTGGTATATATACACAGTGGAATACTACTCGACAATGGAAAAAATAAAGAAATCTTACCATTTGCAACAGTGTGGATGGAACTGGATGGTATTATGCTAAGTAAAGTAAGTCAGTCAGAGAAAGATACCATGATTTCACTCATGTGGAATTTGAGAAACTCAACAGATGAACATAGGGGAAGGGAAGGAAAAATAAGATAAAAACTGGGAGGGAAACCATAAGAGACTGTTAAATACAAAGAACAAACTGAGGGTTGCTGGAGTGGGGGGCCGGGGGTGTGGGTTAAATGGGTGACAAGTGTTAAGGAGGGCACTTTTCAGGATGAGCACTGGGTGTCATATGCAAGAGATGAATCACTGGGTTCTTTCTATTCCTGAAGCCAGACTACACTTCATGTTAACTAACTTAAATGTAAATAACAAAAAGAGAGAGAGAGAGAGGCCTTCAGGAAAACTGAGGAAGTCCTTGACTAACTTTTGCAAAAATGACTGATTGCCCTATGGAAATGGTGTCCTATTGGGCAATCATATAATTTTAGGTAGGAAATATACTTAAAATAATTTTGTTCTACGAATTATCCCATATTGCAATTACATTTTGTTAAGCGATACTAGGTTTAGTAGTAGTTTTATTTTGCAAGAAGTTCCAATCAAACCTTTTCTACCATTTATTATATGCCACTCTGGTCTCCATTTTAAGTAGGTTGACTCAGAGAAGCCTTTTTAGGTCTCAGTTCTTTTTGGATAATGAGCGCCTTTTAACTTATTTTTATCTGCCCCATCTTCCCTAACAGACAGCACACTCCTAGGGCATACGGTGCTGAGACAGACAGAAATGCCATGTCATCATCTCATGGGACAGTGGGGGCAGATATGCATGAGTCACCGATGAAGGCTGTGCAGACCCATAGCCCTTGTTAAATGAATGAGTTCTGGTGTATTCAGAGCTGTTGGAAGCAAAGACAGTGAGGGTCCCCACCAATGAGAGGTGACTAGATGACCTCAGATACCCAGGCTCTTGTCCTCAGTTCTGTCTGGGCTTTTCAAGCATTGGCAGTGATCTCCAAAAGTCTGGAATGCTTTGCAGGGCAGGGCTGGGTGAAGGACATGAGAGTGGTAAGGGTGATCAGGGATGCCCTTGTAAGGAGAGGCAGAGGCCCCTGCTGCCACTCCTCTGACCACCCCTCCAGTAGCATACAGAAGTTGTGTAAAGTGGCTTTATGTGCTCTGGTTCATTCCTGCCTGTTATGGTTCAGAACTTTTTAAAACTGAGCTTCATAACCAGACTGAATGATGGAATTTTCCCAGTCCCAGTCCCCGGGAAGGTGCCTGGAAAGAGGAAGTTACCTTCCTACTTGGGAGTAGAGGTGAGAAGGGCCAACTGGCACCAATGATCACCCCAGCTGCAAGCAGTGACTGCTTGGTAAGGGACCACCAAACCTAGCAGAGGACAAAAAACAAGGCCAGGTGCTGCAGGCCTTTCTGTTCAGCCTTATTTTTTTTTTTAAAGATTTATTTATTTTTGAGAGAGAGAGCACAAGCAGGGAAGGGGCAGAGCTGGGGGGAGGGGGGTGGACAGAAAATCCAAAGTGGGCTCTGCACTGACATCAGTGAACTCGATGCGGAGCTCGAACTCATGAACCATGAGATCATGGCCCAAGCTGAAGTTGGACACCCAACTGACTGAGCCACCCAGGTGCTCCCAGCCCTCCTTTTGCCTGACAAAATTGGGTTAGCCCTCAGGCCCATGAGACAGTCCCTGAGTTAATGCCTCAGAACTGCGTGGGAGCAGGTGGAGGAGGTGTATACATGAGGCACGACCTTGAAAACTGTCTCTAGCAGGAACACCTGATGCTCTAGCAGCTTCCCCAAGCTCCTGGGAAAGATTGCCTTTGTTGCATCCCTGGTAGACTCATAAGGAACTGTTGTTAATAAAATGTCCCCATTTTAAATACCTTGATTTATAAGTCTCCGAGGAAGCATGCATGAAAGGAGGGCAGAGAACTGAGCCTCAGGAATACTAATACTTAGGAAGCAGGGAAAGGACTGTCAGACAAAGCCCCTGAGAGCCAATTGTAGAGGTGTAAGAGCCAGCAGGAGGTTTGCCATGCTGTGAAGTGCTTTGAGAAGGAATGCTTTGGAACAGGGGCTGGAGTACCTGGCTAGTCCTTGGGGACATCTGAGGATAGTGTCAGCAGGGCAGAAGGAGCTTCTAAGACAGCAGCTGGTTTATCAAGTCAGATGAAAGAATCAGACCCCTGAGGTGCCAGGGGACCGAGGTCATGTCCCAAGGGCTGACAGAGACCTCAAGAGTGGATGCCCTCCCAGTAAACAATGTATGCTAGCTGATACCAGCACCTTCTTGGTGACCCGAAAGAATCTCCAGTTCTAGGGATTGACCTTCCAAATGGCAAAGTACAGTAGAGGAACCATTTATAACTAACATTCATTTGTTTAAACTTGGGTGACAAAGTCTTAAATATGTTCAGCTACCTTGGGTCCCTTTGGCATTGGAGATGGCAGAGAGGATCATATGAATGCAAGGTCTTCACTTCCTTTTACAACCTTGGGCTCTAGGATCCTCATGGAGGCTTTCTTACTAGATAGAGCACACAGCCCAGGCCCTGGCCTCTGCCTTAGACATCTATACCGAAGAGGTAAGGGCCACCTGGCCCTGCCTCCCCTGCTCCTCAGCCTGGAGAGCTGGTCTACATTTTACAGTTCAGTCTGTAGTCAGGATCCTCAGCAAAGTGACGTTACATCAGTCTCCACAGGGCTCAGGAGTTCTTTGATGCTGCCTCTACCCCAATAAGCAGTTCTTCTGTTGGCCCCCTTCCCATTGCTTTTATACAACTTTAAAGCATCAATACACCTGATGCATCTGTTTAAAATTTTTTAATTCTTTAGTTTTATATATATATATATATATATATATATATATATATATATATATATAAACTTAAAAATTTTAACCTGTATCCATTAAAAAATTTTAATTCTTTAATAAAATATATACATGAACTTAAAAAATAAAATAAAACAGGTGAGGTTACTATTATTAGTAAATCTCTAACCTCAGTTACTCCTAATGTGGCTTTTTAAAAATTTACAATCAAACTTATCATCTTATTTCAATGAGCATAGCCATTACATATTTTATTTTATTGTCAAATGGTCCAAGATCACACTCCAGAGAATTCATTCCCCTAATAATAACATGATTGCTGGTGTCAAGAGATGGTTTATTGTACAGCTTTGTTTTTCCTCCTCTGAAGCTTGCAGAGCAGATTCTGAGGACCACATATGTGTATGTGCAAAAATGTGTGTGTGTGTGTGTGTGTGTGTGTGTGTGTGCACTGTTTATCTGCTTTGTGAATGCATTTACAAGTGCACATACCTAGAAGTACAATTATGATTTGAATATATATTTTTATTCATGTGAATCCAGGTATTACATATTTCCTAAAAACTTACTACTTACTTGAGTGATAGATAAATGCATACATGTTAGCTGATATAAACAATTTATGTGCTCTTTTGTGAAATAGGTAAATTACATTCTCCAGGCATATCCATCAGCCTCATGAGTCTTCTCAACCTAATTCTAGAGTTGATATCCCTTTTGCCTCCTCAATTGCAGTTCCCCCTTTTAAACAAATTCTATATATTCACTTTCTTTTAGTGATTAAATCTAGATAATAGTTACTATTTTTTTTTTTAAGTTTATGTATTTATGTTGAGAGAGAGCACACAAGTTGGGGAGGAGCAGAGAGAGAGAGGGACAGAGAGAGAATCCCAAGCAGGCTTTGCACGGTCGAGAGGCTCAAACTCATGAACCATGAGAGATCATGACGTGAGCAGAAGTTGGATGCTTAACAGACTGAGCCACCCAGGCACCCCGATAATAGTTACTGTCTGACTGATATTATAATTAATCTAGTAAAAAATCTAAAAGGTAAATAAAACCAACGTCCAGTTAGGTCAATGTTAAATATAAAAAGTAATTTTTGAACATGGTTGTTTTTCATTTTTTGAACACTGCCACTCATCCTCCTTAACTACATAGCGTATCCCCCTCCCCACCCCCCAAGAAGCCAGGTCAAGCATACCATATGTTTATCACATTCCTGAGCAAACAGCAAGGGAGGGGAAAGGAATGAATCAAGGATTCTTAAGGAGTGTGGCCCCCTTTCTAAGTTAATGTGTTTTAGTCCAATGCAGAGAATGCCTGTTTTTGTTTTTGTTTTTGTTTTTGGTCTAGAGGTGAAACAGAGAAATAGTATTTAGAGTATTAACATTAAATGCTTCATTTTACCATTAATATCATGCTTAGTCCAAGTTTTTTCAATAAAGCTGTTTTTAGAAATAGTGCTTCACTTTGGGGGGAATAAACCTAGGATGGCAGCTAGCACAATAAATAATGTGTCTTCTGTGCTTTGTTATCCGGTTTCTATCCTAGATTAGACATAATGCTTCCAGAGTCCGACGGGAACTTCTCCTAGAAGCCCTGTTTCAGAAGTGGGACAGTGATGGCTCAGGCTTCCTGGATCTGAATGAAGTTGATGAACTCTTGTACACATACAAGGAGGGAATGGAAAAAGAATCTATGAAGAAAGGTAAAAAGATAAGAATTTTCTCATTAAAACTGTGGTAACAACTTGGTTTCAAGTTTTCCAGTACTATGTCATACATAGTTAAAACTCTCATTTTGAAGCCACAAGACACCACTTCACAGCTGTTAGAATGGCTATAATTTTTTCAGTTTTATTGAGATAAAATTAACATATAACATTGTATAAGTTTCAAGTGTACATGTGTTGATCTGATATCTTTATATACTCTGAAATGATTACCACAGCAGCATTAGTTAACACCTCTATCACTTCACATAATTACCATTTCTTTTTTGTGGTGAGACCATGTAAGATCTCTTCTCTTAGCAAATTTAAGTATATAATATTGTTAACTATAATCACCATGCTGTACATTAGATCCACAGAACTTATTCATCTTATAACAAGTTTATACCCTTTGACCAACAATCCTCCATTTCCCCCAACCCCATCCCCTAAGAACCACCATTTTACATTCTCAGTTTGGCTTTTTTAGATTCCACATATAAGTGATATCATACAGTATTTGTCTTTCTTTGTCTGATTTCACTCAGCATAATGCTTTCAAGATCCATCCATGGCAGCACTCTATCTTTTTCATGGATGACTAATACTCCTGTGTGTGTGTGTGTGTGTGTGTGTGTGTGTGTGTGTGTGTGTGTGAATCACATTTTCTTTATCCATTCATTCACTGATGGTTAGTTTTTTTTTTCATACCTTGGCTATTGTGAATAATTTTTCAATGAACATGGTGATTCAGGTATCTCTTCGAGATAGTGATTTCATCTCTTTCCATTAGATACTCAGAAGTGGAATTGCTGGACAATATGATAACTCTATTTTGTTAATGTTTTTTATTTGTTTTGAGAGAGAAAGAGAGAGGGCACAAGTGAGGGAGAGGGGCAGAGGGAGAGAGAGAGAATCTTAAGCAGGCTCCATGCTCAGCTCTCATCATGGAACTCAACGCAGGTTCGATCCCACAGCCATGGAATCGCAACCTGAGCCAAAATCAAGAGTCAGATGCTCAACTGACTTGAGCCACCCAGACACCTCTACTTTTAATGTTTTGAGAAACGTCCATACTGTTTTTTATAGTAGTTGTACCAATTTACATTCCCACCGACAGTGCACACTGGGTCCCTTTTCTCCACATCTTTGCCAACACTTGTTATCTCTTGTCTTTTTGATAACAACAACTCTGACAGGTGTGATATGACATCTCATTGTGACTTTGATTTGCATTTCTCTAATTGTTAGTGATGTTGAGCATCTTTTCATGCACTTTTTGGTTATCTGCATGGCTCTGGAAAATTCAGTTTCTTTGCCCATTTTTAAATTTTTTTTTCTGTTTAGGTGCATGAGTTCCTTATATATTTTGGATTTTCACCCCTTATCAGATATAGGATTTGCAAAAATCTTCTGTTCTGTAGGTTTCCTTTTCATTTTGTTGATTGATTCTTTTGCTGTGTAGAATCCTCTTCGTTCAACGTACTTCACTTATTTACTTTTGCTTTTGTTACTTATGTTGTATGGCTATACTTTAAAAATAGAAAAATAGCAAGTGTTGACAAGGATGTAGAGAAGTTGCAACCCTCGTACCTTGTTGGTGGGAAGTGTAGAAAATGTCAGAGCTATCAGGAGTGTATTATGTTGTAGAGTGCTTTGTCCAAGACCTTAACTCTTATCTAGTTAGATTCCTTCCATGTGCCTAGCTACCCTCACTCTTGGGGTTAAAAAAATCCAAAGCATTCCTCAATTCTGCCTATTTTCTCTTCTTGTTTTATCTTTCTGCCTCTACAAGGTCCGATTCACCTCTCAAGTCGGTCTGGCTTGCAAGTTTCTCCTGAATTTACTAACTTAACCACTAAATTCTCCTTAATGACTTTTCTTGTCCTATACTACATTTTTCTCTTCTGATCAAACTTCCCAATAAAAAGTTACTAAAATTCTTATTCTAGTATAATAAGTTTCCTCATCCATTTGATTAGATTCTAGTATAAATGATTTTGCGTTTTACTGGGTTTAAGGATTTATCTGGTGACTCTTGCATATTAGATTTCCAATTCTTAAAGTGTATAGTAAGTGAAAGAAAGAATGATCAGGGTTAGTTAAGTTCTTCAACCTTTTAAAAAATTATTGTATTCGTTTATCTTCAAATGTACCTAAGTTTATCAATTGTCGTGTGTTCTTCATTCACTACATCTTCTGCAAACTTGACATTAAACTACACTACTTGTCTTAGACTGCATCCAAAGAATGGAATTTCAAAGGGCACAATGAGATGGTTTCCACTTATAAAGTGGGAAAATTTTATAATATAAAATCATGTTCTATAGAGGAAAAACACCACACAATGGTCAGGAGAGCTGGGTTCCAATACTGGATCTTTCACTTAATGGTCACAGGACCAAAGACAAGTTACTGAACCTCAATAGATTCAGGGGTCCTCATTTGTAAAATGAAGGAGTTAGACGTGATAATTTCTAGAATTTAAGAAACCTGAGGATGACATTATAAGGAAGTTCCAATATATATGAGTGAAGTACAGCAATAGGGATAGGTAGAAAGTATAAAATGTAATGGGTTAAGCCCAGCAAATGAGAATGAGGAAAGTAATGAGGAGGCAGAAACTGCTGCCAGAAATAAATTTCTGCAAGCAGGAAGAACAAATTATTCTCTGCAAGGGTAGGCTTATACAAAATGACTCTCTCTGAACACATGTTGGTAGCCACCTGGCCTGAGGAGATGATTGCTGAGCTGATGGCCATATGGAAGAAGAAAGGCAGATTTAGCTTCTTTTAAAAAGGGAGAAAATTCTAAATTCAAACATTAGCTAATAACTGATCAGCAAATCTTCAAATAGCTCTTTGTTTCATTTTGTTTTGTTTTGCTCTACCCTTCTTATCTATTTCTGTGTCCAAGATTAAAAATTGGATAAAAATTGGAGAAATAGGATAAAGCCACAGAATTAGAAGTGTCTATAAATGTTTCTGCTGGTATTCTCAAAATGGAAGTTGTCTATAGGGGGCAACTTGAAACTTTTAGCTGGTAATTTCCCTGTTTATTCTTGTCTAATACAGCTCAGTCTTTAGAGGAGAAATATTACATATAAAATCTGTAAAACATGTGACCTGTCTACACTGTAGAACTTAATGGAATAGATCACTCTTTCCCCATTACTTCCCATGGAATAGCTATTAACATTTCTGGATATATATACCCTCTAATTTCCTATTAAATGATAAAATTTACTTTAATATAAAAATTTCTATATAAGTAGGACATTTAACTCTCTTAAAGTTATGAAATTTTGTCCATTCATCAGTGGATCCTGAGAAACTTAACAGAAGACCATGGGGGAGGGAAAGGAAAAAAAAAAAAAGGTTAGAGAGGGAGGGAGCCAAAACATAAGAGACTCTTAAAAACTGAGAACAAACTGAGGGTTGATGGGGAGTGGGAGGGTGGGGAGGGTGGGTGATGGGTATGGAGGAGGGCACCTGTTGGGATGAGCACTGGGTGTTGTATGGAAACCAATTTGACAATAAATTTCATATTTAAAAAAAAATAATAATAAAATAAAATAAAATGTTATGAAATTTTTTTGATGCATTTTGTAACCAAATTCCAGAAATCTTGAACACTTATGAACCATGTTTATTTAGAAAATCTCATTGAAGGGGCGCCTGGGTGGCGCAGTCGGTTGGGCGTCAACTTCAGCCAGGTCGCGATCTCGAGGTCCGTGGGTTCGAGCCCCGCGTCGGGCTCTGGGCTGATGGCTCAGAGCCTGGAGCCTGTTTCCGATTCTGTGTCTCCCTCTCTCTCTGCCCCTCCCCCGTTCATGCTGTGTCTCTCTCTGTCCCAAAAATAAATAAATGTTGAAAAAAAAATTAAAAAAAAAAAAAAGAAAGAAAATCTCATTGAAAAACTCACATAGTGTTTTTTTTTTAAATATTTATTTATTTTTGAGAGAAGGAGCAAGCAGGGGAGGGGCAGAGGGAGAGAAAGAGAATCCCAAGCAGGCTCCACACTGTCAGCGCAGAGCCCAATGAGGGGCTCAAACCCACCAACTGTGAGATCATAACCTGAGCTGAAATCGAGAGTCGGACGCTTAACCGACTGATCCACCCAGGCATCCCACATAGTGTTTTTTAAAGAAACTGAAAACCGGACAAGTAGTTAGTGTAAAACAACTGCTGTTTCTTTACTCTGCAACAAGGGATCTTTAAGAAACTCTTCAGTCTTTCCTTGATTGTCGTGTCTTTGACAATTTGAAGATTACGGGCTGTTTGTTTATAGTATGTCCTCCTTTTAGGTTGGTCTAATGTTTCCTTATGATTAAATTCAGATTATTCATCTTTACCAGGAATGTCACGTAAGTGATGCTATGTTCTTCTCATTGAATCCTAGCAGAAGTCCCATGATAATAACATGATGTCTGTGGAGGTTCTTCAAAAAATTAAAAATAGGACTACCCTATAATCCAGTAGTCAAACTACTGGGTATTTACCCAAAGAATACAAAAACACTATTTCAAAAAGGTACATGCACCCCTATGTTTATTGCAGCATTATTACAATAGCCAAACTATGGAAGCAGCACAAGTGTCCATGATAGATGAATGGATAAACAAGTGAAATCTTACGGTATTTGTCTTTGACGGGCTTATTTCACTTGGCATTATACTTTCTAGCTCCATCCATGTTGTTGCAAATGGTAAGATTTCATTCTTTTATATAGCTGAATAATTCAGCCATAATTTGTTAAGAAACAAAACAAACATGCAAAGGGGAGAAAAGAGAGAGAGACAAGCCGAAAAACAGACTCTTAACTATAGAGAACAAATAGTTCTCTATTTGTGGGGGGGAGGGTGGCGTGGCTAGGTGAAATAGTAGCTGAAGGGCATTAAAGACTAACTTATCTTGGGGCGCCTGGGTGGCTCAGTCGGTTAAGTGGCCGACTTCAGCTCAGGTCATGATCTCGCGGTCCGTGAGTTCGAGCCCCAC